TGCAGAGATGCTTCACAAAAGTAGCATTTAATTGGCCAACAATGCAGTTACAAAAGCAATAACATTGTAAATTATTATTGATGATTAAATAGCTCTTTAAATAGTTTTTATGTATTTTATAAGCCTTATCATCAGAGTTGAAAAAGTTGTGCTACTGAAGTGTGGCAATCACAGTACAGTTTTTTTCAGTATTGAGCACACTTCCATTTCTGAAGTCCAATTTTGGTGTCATAAATAGTCAAAAGAAAACACATCTCATCAGTCAGTGGTTCTTTTGAGATATGGAGGTTATTTCATGCACTGCTGTCTGGAAAGAAGAAAGCAAACTGGATCTAACCATGACAGATGTCAGCTGGACAACAAGAAGCACATCAGTTTCTAGCTTGAGAAACAGACCCCTCACTGGTGCTCAGCTGGCAACTTCATTGATCCGCACATGCCAAAAAAACAATTTCAACTGCAAAAGTGAAGAGACGCTTTTAGTCAGAATGTCATTGACAAAACTACATCTGAAACAAGGAAATATTAGAATAGTCAAAAGAAAGATAAAAAAGAAGCATTATGAATAGATGAATCTAAGTTTGAGGTATTGAGTGGTTTAAAGGGATAGATCACCTAAAAATAAAAAGGATAATTTACTTATCCTCATGCCATTTCAATCCCATAAGACTTTGGTTAGTCTTTGAAACTCAAATGAAGACATTTTTAATGAACCCTGAGGGGTTTCTGGCTCTCCATTGAAAGTTGAGGTAAGCAAAAATTTAAAATATCCAAAAAGGTCATAAAGGCATCATTAAATTAATCCATATAAATCAAGCCATATAATTCAAGTCTTGTGAAGAGATATGACTGACTTTTATGATGAACAGATTTAATTTAGGCTTTTATTTACATCTAAACAATGATTGACACATACATAGAACACATCACATATGGTAAACATAGAAGCTCAAGCGTGTGTGCATGATGCACAAGAACCAGTGATGTTTGTTCTCGCATATGATGGACGTACGTGACGCACACACAAGCTTCCATGTTAAGTATATGTGATACGCTATATGTATGTGTGGTTTTATGTAAATAAAAGCCTAGATTAAATCTGTTCATCATATAAAAGTGATCATATCTCGTCACAAGACTTGGATTAAATGATTTATATGGTTTAGTTTTACGACACCTTTATGATATT